GCCACCTTCACAGTAGGGAAACCATGACAAACCAACCTTTCATTAAACATGAAAGAAGATGCAAGGACCTGCAAACAAATCAGCCCCTCAAAAAGAGTCTCGACTAAAAAATAGACTCCAACTCAAAAGAACAAAACTTAACAGATAATTACAAAACGATTATGAAAACTGAGGCCCATGAATAGGTATTAAATGTAATAACCTCCTACACCTCTTCCTAGGAGACTTCTTCACCCCTCTAAAAATCCTCCTTTTTTTTTGATATCCATGTGTCCGAACCAGCTTGCGCGGACCTCGACTACATTTGGTTGACAAGAAACTCGTAGGATATTAAATCTTAGGTAGGTGGTCACCATGGTTTGAACTCATTCTCTTTAAGTCCTTTGCTATTTACATTGACCCTTATTGACCACTTGGCAATCCCATGATGGTTCACCCCTCTAACTACCATTCATCTTGATCCATACACCCCACAAAATAGTAAAAGAGACGAGTCTGCGGAAAAACTATGCCCTTCCCAGAAAAGGGAGGAAATTGGAGAACTTCCTCTAACGTAAGAATAGCAATCCCTATTACGATCCCACATGATCCCAACAGCTGACATATAACGACTCCCGACTCCATAAAACCTGAGCGAACGAACACTCCCAAAGAATATGATTGAGATCCTCCGACGTGCATACACAAACAGCTCCATTGTGAGCCTAACACCAAAGAGGAATGCCTTTAAAGTCCGAAGGTGTTAACTCCCCAAAACTTGCCCAGCAAAAATTTGACCTTCTTTGCAATCTTAACCTTCCTAAGAGAGGAGAAAGAAGGGGGCTTCAGGAGGGGGCAAAGAGGCGCATAAGATTTGAGGGTTGGGGGCCAAAAACGAACACCTCTCCTCACTTCTCGTCGCTTTGTTCGATAAAGGATGAAGGAAGCTTAACAAAAAGATAAATTAGAACTCAAGGAAAGTATAACAGAGATCACCGAATGCAACCTCTTATTAAAAAGATGATATAAAAGAGGGAACAAAGCACAAGGAGGCTTGTCTCCCACCCAAAAATTCTCCAAGAAAAATAAACATGAAGTAACAGGCAATTTTACAAATTGTGAGAACAAGGGAAAATTTGAAGTAATAGGCAATCCTGGAGCTTTTTGAAAAGCCTTTAGACCCATAAGCTGAGGCCCACTCAAAAGGGTGCCATAAAATGTCTGTCAAATCAATTTTTTTGAAAATTGGACCATACCAACTGGTAGATGAAACCCAACCAAACCAACTTCCCATTAATTTTCGATTCTTTACTATAAAAAGAAAAAAAAGCATTGATTTGTTTGTTATTTTGATTTCAGCTCACCTTTGTTGTACTCTCAAAATGGGTGGGTTGAGGGATGGATCTTTCTTTTAGTTTTCTTTCACATTAACGGAATAGAAATACCATTTTCTTTGGGTGCAGAATCTAAAATTTTTGCAGAGAAGTTAAATTCTAGAGAGACATTGCAACAAACACAGTGGGGCCCATCCAGGAAGGTGGGGATTAGATTACACGTAATTATGTAAATTATTTGCTTTCAATTATAATATTTATTTATCTTTCGTGAACAAATATGCTTACAAAACAAACATTCACCTCTAAAATCCCATTAACCTGCAATACAATACAATACTACTTTTACTTTTTACTT